ATATATATATATATATATATATATATATATATATATATATATGGTGTCAGTCCGTTTTTACAGTTGTAAACACTTGATCTTACATAAGCATTATTGTTGCGTTTAAAATTGTATTTTTCAGCTAACCTTTTGTCTTTTTTATAATAAATGCCCACATGACGACCACTGCCTCACTGCAGAAGAGTTGTTTGTTCAGTGGTGCAAATGGAAAAAGTCAAGCCTACACAGTTTGCATTATTTCTCATCAGCGCTGACACAACATGCAAATCACAACCGGCTCACTGAATATTTTTATGCCATTGAAGTCTGGACACCAGGTTGTGCTTTGTTTTTTCAGCGCCAGTAGAACCAGTTTGGCCCACCATGGCATGTGACAAACTCTTCCTGATTGTGCTGTTTTTTCTCTGCAGTAAGTAAACTTTCAGAACTTGTCTCTGTCTGTCCTCACGCGCAGCGCTGAAGCGATCTCACACAGGAAGGCCTAACCACAAACACTCTTTATGGAGGAAATGTAACGGTTCATGCAACAACAGCAGCAGTAAATTTGTTTCAGTCTTGGTGCCATCACGTTTGTTTCTTTGTTCTCTTTTCTTCCAGACCTGACTGTGGCACTCACAGGTAACGCACAAAGGACAAATATGACACTAAAATTCATTGTTTTCATTAAAAAAAAGCAGACGCAGATAACTTTACAGTTTTTCCGCTCATCGTTTGATTTGTCTCTTTCAACCCATTTGATTATTTTCTCACTTTTAAATTTTTTTTTTTGTTCATTTGCTTGTTTTTGTCAGACACTATATCCTGTTACAGGATTGAGCCGGGGACGATGGCGGGCATCATCTCTGCAGATTTGGTTCTGACCCTCATTATTGTCGTTGTGACATACAGATGTGCCAGCTGCCGGCGTCAGAAGATAGACAACGGTAGCAGAACCCTTACTGTTTTTCTCTTTTAATGTATTTGCTGTAGATTTGGAAACTGTGTTTATATTTAACATTCTTTGTGTTTGTTGTACATTTATTTAAACGTAATGGATTTTTGTCTGTTTTCCACACCTCTTTACAGCTAACAAGGTGTACATGAACGTTCGAGCCAACTGCAAGTCCACATAAGTTTTGCTCCAGTTTTTATTTTGCTTCAAGAAATCCAGTAAAGCCTAAAAGTGGATGTTTCTGATTTTACCTGGTTATAACAAAAACTGCAGTACAGCTCTATTTTTAGTCTTTTCTGCAAACTTTTCTTAAAGTTCCCATGAAGTGTACTGCAATGCGTCCGCATGTTTTATAGATTAAAAAAAAAAACATTTAAAAAGTGGAGGGGGATTTTCTTCATTTTGTGGGGCGGGGTTTTGCCACATAAAAAATGTATTATTGCCTGTCGCCTTAAAGTGTTTGTGATAATGTAACTGCCTACGTCTGTGTGTTTAGCTTACTGCCTGTTAGCATAATATCTCATGAACCACTGAACAGATTTGTATGAAACTTTCAGAAGGTTTTCGTTGAATATCCATTTACAACAGATTAACTTTTGGAGTCAGCTTCATTAAAGATGGCCGCCACATCTAATCAACCTGAGCAAACCCATTTATGCCTCACTTGGTATGGTAGTTGCTGAGACTCATATCAAATTAACACTCCGAGGGCTAACGGACAGGGTGAGATTTGGCAGTGTCAGATGCAAGCTCACACAAGAATAAAAAGATTAATAATAAATAAAGAATGTTTTAATCTATTAAAAACTTTGAGTGTGTAAAATAAATTATCAAAGTATACAAACAAAAAATGTATTTTAATCTTCTATATTTATCAAACAAACAGCCTCTCAAGTGGTTAGTTTATTTTTAATATACTCTGAAGGTATTTTGTTTCCTACAAATGCCAAAAACGATACAGTATACAGAAATGAGATATGATAGGAAACATAAACATTGGGATTTTTTTATGACTTTGCCCTCCATTAAACTACTCATTCTACAATGTATGAAAATTTACTTTCACAGTTTGTACATAAATAAACATTTTTATACAATTTATGTGCCTGAAGTTAATTTTATATATGTAAACCTGTTGTTTAGATGAATTGATCATGTTCGTTTTTCAGTCTTGAAGGAAATAAACTCAAATCAAGGCTAATAAAACAACAGGAAATAGAAAATGTTTTATTTTTTTATTGAATTAATTCAAATCCTCTTGAAGAAAACGTTACAGCTGCAGAGTTCTGACTGAAGAAGGATTTATTTCTATTTGTTTTCTGTGTAAATGCTTATTGCATAAAAACCGGTCAAGGTGGCTTTATTGTCATTCACATCACATGTGGTACATGAGGTGGAACGAAACTATGTACACAGGGAAAAAAACTGCTGAAATTAGCTAAAACAGCTGAAATTAGCTAATTAAAAAAACATGCTGAAATGGAAGAACAAGCCTAAATAAGCAGAAGAAAGCAGAAAGGAAACATTTGCTGAATTAGATTTAAATGAACAGAAATTAGCACAAAATTTTGGAAATTAGCTTAAAAAAGCTGAAAAAACTTTGGAAAAATTGCTGAAAAGTAGCTGAAAAGGCAGAAAAGAAGGACGTGGAAAGACCTGAAATGAGCTATAAAAAATAAAAATAAAAAGGGAATTACATGAAAAAGCTAAAAACAGCATCAAAAGAACTAAATAGTAGCTGAAAAAAGCAGAAATTAATACAAAATAGTGGAAATTATTTGAAAAAAAATGCTGAAATTAGCAAAAAACAGCTGATTTGCTAAAAAGTCAAAAAGAAGCTTAAATTACAAGAAGGAAGTGGAGAGAGCACATTTTTGCTGAATTAGGCTGTAAAAAGTTAAAAAGGAGTGCAAAAAATGTGGAATTAGCTGGAAAAGTTAAAATTACCATAGCATAAAAAGCTAAATAGTAGCTGAAATAGCAGAAACAGCTGAAACTTGCAGAAATAATCTGAAAGGAGCATAACAAACTCAAATTAGCAGAAAGAAGTTAGAAGAAGCGCACAAATGTTGTAGTTAGCAGAAAGAATCTGAAAGGAGCACAAAACAGCTGAAAAAACTGCTGACATGAGCTGAAAAAGTTTACATTTAGCCTAGAGTATAGAGTTTTTTTAGGTGTTTTTTTAATTTCTTATTTCATTAGTACCTCTTCAGAATGTAATCTCTGGAGGGCACATTAGATATGACGTTTGTCCTGCAGCGTGTCAGTGATAAACTGATTAAATGCTTTCAGTCAGACGCTGAAAACATGTTTGATATTATCTGATCTGTTCCTCGTGCTCACTGGTTCAACTCTCGGCAAACATCAGAATAAAGTCGATGCTTGAAGCCCATTCTTTGCCTCTTTTTGTTCAAAGCTCTGCTTCATATTTATTTCCCCATATTGTGAAGGGCTCCTAACTAACAGGACAGTTTTATAGATTTCAGTTTTAACTTGATTGATTCTGCTGTCCTGCAGGTTTCAGATTTTCCTGCAAGCTCGTCAGTTTACCACAGAATGTGATGAGTTTTCTTTATGATATCAGATCTGCGTCAGCTTGAACATTTCAGTGTTTTAATAATAATCTGAGATAGTGCTTCTCAAACCTTTTATATAGGTACCACTTCCAACAACAAAGTTCAACAAGTACCACCAGTATGACTGAAACATCCAAACTCCTTAAAGGAAAGCACATCACCAAGTCCCCCACTCTTGCAATTGTGTCCAAGTTCTCTGTTTATTGGGGACAGGGTAGTTAGGTATCACTTAAACAAGTTAAAAGTAAGAGCACTTGAGTTAGTCTATTGGTTAATTAACTTGACTGATTAACTTTGCTGATTAAGGCTAATTTTCATCAGAGGTCCCTTAAAAGAAGACATCAAGAATACGCTAAATCAATAAAAAATAAAGTTCAAGTCAAGTTTATTGTCATTCACATCACATGTGGTACATGAGGTGGAACAAAACGTTGTACACAAGATCCCAGTTACATCCAAAAAAATCAAAATATAACCTAGAAAAAACAGTAAATAAGGATCTAAGATAAACACTAAGAGATACAATAAGCAAATGCCAAACGGTACGTTAAAAGATCTAAGATACGCTAAACACTAATATTGTAAAACAATAGAGCATATCAACAGCAGCCCGAACATGAGTCTGTGGTGAGACGATGGATATGAATGAATACAACAGCATACATAAATGAAAACAAATATAAAATACATATAAGAGCCATTTCAAAGCATAAAACCATAAAAACAGATCAGTTTGTGTCTTTAAAGGGATAGTCTGCTCATTTTTCAAACAGTTTTCTATAGTTAGTGTCAAGACTCGAGGAACCCAGATGGAGCGAAACCAGAAAAGACAAGACTTGGTTAGAAAACGTAGTGATGTTTATTATATACAGTGTCTATTTACAGTGGGTCATCTTTGGAAGATCCTGGAAGAGAGAGTTGAGTAAGTGGAGTCCAGTTGCAGTTCTTAATTTCTTTGTTTTGTTTTTCCTTACAGATGGTGAAGTAAGAGTTTGGCGAGGACGTTTAGTCACCAGGGTTGATCCAAAGGGAAGGCGGGACACTACTGGAAGGACAGGCGTGTGGCTGGAAGGCGAGGCACGGAGAACATGAACCAGGACCATGGAACTCAGAATCCAAACGGGAGCCAAGAAAACAGGAGGACTGTAGACACAGAAACAAAGGTAAGTACTTCTCATATATTTTTCATATAATGGCCAAAAGCATAAATACCGAATAGGGTACAATGCTCCAGCGATGAGTCACACTGGACTGCAGCCTTAAATAGTAAATGGTAAATGGTAAATGGAGCTTACTTCTATAGCGCCTTCCAGCCCCCTATGAGGGGCCCCAAGGCGCTTTACAGTACCAGCCATCCACCCATTCACACGCACATTCATACACCGGTGGCGGTAGGCTGCCATGCAAGGCGCCATCCAGTCCCACCGGGAGCAACTCGGGGTTAAGTGTCTTGCCCAGGGACACAACGGCACATGGTGTGGGAAGTCGGGATTCGAACCTCCAACCTTCCGATCAGAGGTCGGCTGCCACTACCACTGCACCACGGCCGCCCACAGTAGCAGGAGCTCTTCAGATGGATGGCTGCCAGCTGGTGGCAATCAGCAGCCAATTAGAGGAGGAGCTGCAGGTAGTGGAACTCACAGTACCCCCCCCTCAAGGGTCGCCCCCAGGCGACCGGAGACGTTTCTCGGGGTGGTTACGGAAAAACGATGTAATGAGGCTGGGGTCCAGGATAAAAGACCGGGGGATCCACGATCGTTCTTCAGGACCGTAACCCTCCCAGTCCACCAGATACTGGAACCCACGTCCTCTGCGTCGTACGTCGAGGATGGTCCGGACACTAAAGGCAGGATGATTGTCGATTAGTCGGGCGGGTGGAGGGAGGTCGGCAGGAGGGCACAAGGGACTGACGGCCACCGGCTTAACCTGGGAGACGTGAAAAGTGGGGTGGACCTTCATGGAATGGGGGAGACGAAGGCGTATAGCGGAGGGATTGATGATAGCAATGATGGGAAAAGGACCAATGAACCGGGGCGCCATCTTTCTGGGAGTATCCTTGAGTTGAATATCCTTAGTGGAGAGCCATACCTTCTGTCCCACCTGGTACAAAGGAGCTGGTGTGCGGTGGCGATCAGCAAATCGCTTAGCTTGGGCAGAAGCACGAGTCAGAGCTGTCTTAGCCTGTCGCCAGACACGTCGACACCGTCGAAAATGGCGTAGTACCGACGGAACAGAGATGTCGGTCTCCTGGCTGGGGAACAAGGGAGGGATATAGCCGAGGGAGGCCTCAAAAGGGGACATACCTGTGGCGGATGATTTGTGGGAATTGTGGGCATACTCCACCCACACTAGGTGCTGGCTCCAGGCAGAGGGATCCTTCTCGGCGACACAACGAAGAGTAGTTTCAAGGTCCTGATTACAGCGCTCAGCCTGACCATTGGATTGTGGATGGTGACCCGAAGTGAGACTGGAGGTGGCCCCTAAGGTTTTGCAGAAAGCCTGCCAGACTTGGGAGGTGAATTGCGGACCACGGTCCGAGACCACATCGGAGGGAATCCCATGAATCCGGAATACATGCTGGATAAGGAGTTGAGCGGTCTCGAAT